TTTCTCCCCTTTTTTTTTTTTTTTTTTTTTTTTTATCAACGTTAACCCACTAATGACCTAGTCCTTAATTTTACTCTCCTCCCCCCCCCTCATCACTGCCACACAGAAGATGAAATGTACCTCCTCGAAAAAAAACTCTTCAAAAAAATAATTCCCAATCGGACTAGCGTTTGTGTAACTCCAGTAAGTCGACCTGCTCGCCGTTCGCCACAGTGCAGACATGTGTGCGTGGCGTTTGTTCAACGTTTGCATGGCCCTTGTTCAACGGTTGCATGGCATTTGTTTCCACCGTTGCATGGCATTTGTTTCCACCGTTGCATGGCATTTGCTCTCCCTCCCTAAGATGAAAGTAGAAATCACACTCGAGAAACTCCAACCGGGTAAGCAGCAGTGTCTGATGGTGTACCCCCATCGTAGTGATTACACTTCTACACCATGTGGTATTTTTTTTTTTTTTTTTTTATCTTCCCCCCCTGAAGACGTTGAATGGCCCCAACTGCAACAACTCGAGGAAAGCGACAAGGACAAAATGAACGGGCTAGATAAAAAAAAGGAAAACCTTCTGAATCCGTTCAGTGGAAAAAGCACCCACGAATGGGACAAGCTAACAAAGGTTCGCATGGAAAGGGCAGAAAAAAAAAAGACAATAAAACGGGACGAAGCGGAACGATACAATACAATACGTAACGCCCACGTCGTGTCTGTGAAGCTGTTCCTACATGCAGCATGAGGCTGGATGACCCAGTGGGATTCCTCCCGCCCGTCCGGCGATGCAACCCATTTTAGCGAAACACGCATATGAAGTGACACTCGTGTTTGAGGATGCCCTTCTCTCATTTGCTTTTTCCTCTCCCCCTCCCACCAAAGTCCATAAAGGAAGACGAAGAGGAGGGAAGCATTGACACATTCTTCAGGAAAATATATAACGAAGGCGACGATGATACGAAGAGAGCCATGATCAAGTCATTTGTAAGTGTCTTTCGTTTCTGCGTCATTGCGTCTTGGGGCCCTATCCCTTGAAAAAACACGCCTCGCAAAGGGGAAAAAAAAAAAAAAAAAAAAAAAAAGATCCCCAACAAGTGCAACTGCACAAGCGTGTTTGATCTGTCCTTACGACTGGCAGTTTGTACGATAATTCTCCCATTTTATATTTATTTTTATTTTTTTTTTTTATTTTTTGTGCTCAGCAAACCTCCCGAGGAACGGTCCTCTCTACAAATTGGAAAGACGTCCAGCACAAAAACTACGAGCAGGTGAGAACGGGAGGAGCAGCAATGAGGCGGAGCAATGAAGAGAAGCTACTGACCAGGGACAGGTCGCTGATGAGGAGAAGCGCTCATGATGAGAAACACTGCTTTGCCCACCACGCAGGACAAAACACTACAGGATAAGAAGGATACAGTTTGAAAGAGGACGCCTCCTTTAGCGCCCTTTTGTGCAAAGTGGAGGGGAAAAGGCAATTAATGGAAAAGGGCGCAGTGAGAAGCTTTTTTTTTTTTTTTTTTTTTTTTTTCAGCTGTCCCCCGTTTTACCTGACTATGTTCGGTAAATAATGTGATGGCTTCGCATAAGTAAACTTCCCCCCCCCCGTTTTTTCGTGTCACTTACCCCTTTTTTCTCCAACCCCTTCCCCACGCCGAGTCGCTAAAACGGGTAACTCGCATGGCGATGGATTCTAAAGTAACCCCCATGGGTACCTCCAACAGGGACACTCTCACCACCCCCAGTGAGCTGTCTTGAAAGGCGCTTCAAGTATTGAGGCATCTCCTCAATCTCTCCCTGGTCCCTGAAAATGACGGACACATCATATCCAATGGTCAGGCAAATGTAAATAATCACCATTACACAGAGCATCCCAAGCAGAAGTAATAAAAAAAAAATTACAATTCTTAAAAGTCCTTCCATAATACCAAACATGAGGGAAGGAGATATAATCACCAATTCCTTATCCGCTCCTTTTGAATCCTTCTCCTTCCCTTTGTCTTTTTTAAAGGTTGGTATTTCTTTGATCAGGACCCTTCTACTGTGTCCCTCTCCTTCTTCAGCTGCTTTTCCCTTCGTACCACTCGTGTTCTCCACTTGTGCGTAGCTTTCCTCTCGACATAGATCCTCCAGCGACAAATATTCCTCCTCATCACTCACCAATGTACTTTCCTTCCCTTTCTCATTGTACGTGTCTCTTCTAACCCCCCCTTGTACCATCCCTGCTACGTCCCTCCTCCCTCCCTCATGGCCGGAAAAGAAAAACGCCTGTCTGGACATATCACTCTGATGCGAAGCGCCATGCTGCTCCTTCCCCCGGTCGACGGAGGGATAAGAGGAGGAAGAGGAGGACTGCCCCGCCCGACCTCCACAAAAAAAAGCTTTATAAATTTTCTCCACAACATTCACTCCTTCAGCCTCTCCGTCCTGTGGTTGGAAGCGGCTAAAAATATCCACCTTCAGAGGCAGCTCTAGCTTCTCTTTTATGAACCCAAAGTGGTCATACCGACGAGCCGTTGGACTCCATTTTTTCATTTCAAGTATGTGTTTGTTTTCGTCTGCTTCCCCCGCCCCTTGCGTGTTCACCATCTGCATGATTGATAATGCAATGGTGTACTCGCGGGACCCTTTGTCCTCTTCGTAAAATTCAGGGCACAGCCAGTAGAACGTGTTCTTCCTGCGGTTAAGCGGTGGAGAGGTAACGCGGTAAAGAGGTAAAGAGGTAAAGCAGCCACGCGGTAACGCGGTGACGAGGCCAACTCTCACTACTTTTACCCAAACGCCTTTCTGTAGTCTGGGTGGCAGATGCGCTGGTTCTTCTCCTTGAGGGTTTTCCCCCCCCTCAGTGGTTCCTCATTCACGGAGATTTCTACCAGGAGGGAGAGGGAGAGGAAGCGGAATGGACAGTAGGCACAGCAAGGAATGGGCATCCCTTGTGATGGGTAAATGCCCCCAGGTATCTCTTCCGTAGGTACATCCCCACCAATGTCTCACTTTGGCCTGTGTCGCTTCGCAGTGTGAAGTAGTCCAGGTTCAGGACGTAGTCCTTCAAGAGGGGATGCAGAAATTTTACCTTGTCTGCAACAGGGGGAAAAAAATATATTTGGTGGGGGGAAAACAAGACGAGGCAGTCACAGCGGTCTACTGCCTTCACTCGCTTCACACGCTTCACTCGGTCTACACGCCCCACTCACTCACCGTCGAGGACGACCTTCTCGCGCGTCGCCCCATTCTGAACCGTGTCTATGTTTTTTATCGGCCCGCTGTACCGCTTGTACAGGTGAATGCGCTCGTTCCACATGGTACCATCCTTCACATGAACGCAGTGCTCCCTCCCAATCCTCTTCTCGCACTTGTTAACTCTCTCGAACTGGAAAATGTCCTCAAGCGTTTCTTTCCCCTCGAGATGAAAAACAACTTTGCAGTCCCTGCACTTCACCTTATCTGTGTTTAGAAGAGAATACTTTTTTTTCTTTTTCAATTCTATCCCGTCAATTAGCCCGAGGGAGGAAACATTCCTCTTACCCTCCGACTTACTCAACCCTGGAACCCTCCCCTGCATTTCCCTCATCGCAGAGTACACCTCCAGTATGCGCTCCTTGCTCAACTCATGCATTCTTGCATTTGTAAAAAAATTATCAACCCCCTTGTGTAGAATGACCGGGCAGTCTCCGTATGGAAGGACACACTCCACGTGCTTGTGGTTATTGTAGACAAGCAGACACGCAATACATGATAGGATCACCAACAAAACGAGACAGCCATAAAAAACCATTTGAATATTTTTCACAACCTTCTGCTTAATAATCCTCTGCTTCACATGAGACACCTTCACGTCTTTGTCACTCGTATACGTCACATACAACCGTTCATTTGATCGACCATATCTGTCCACTGTCTTTAAATCTTTGTACCACTTGGCACATTTGTAGAGCCGTAGCAACCCCCCATCGGGGTCGTCTCTTCTCTTGTACATACATTTCGAGTACCTCTTCGCGACGAAGTATTTTATGAGGATGTTGTTAATGAAGTGACGCTTGTTCATTTCGCTAGGTCTCGGTGTCTCACCAGGAGAACATAATCCTTTTCCCCTCCACATTGCCTTGAGATGGATGAGGCGGGACTTTTTTTTTTTTTTTTTTCCTTGCCTTCCTTTTCTTTTTAATCTGTAATTATGCTTACTTGGCACAAGTTTCGAGCAGGCATTCCTGTACCCCATGGGGGCTTCCCTGCTCTACTTGTGAGCCTTCTCCCACGTCGACATGCTGTTGGCAATATATATATATATATTTTTTTTTTTTTTTTTTTTTTTTTTTTGCACAATTGGTTAGTCAGCTGTTTTCAAAATGGCTAGCTTGACCTCTTCTCCCCGATACAGACGTGAACTTAACATTTTTGACACGCCTGTGCTGGACGTCTACACCTTTCCCGCTCTGCCGGCACGACAGCGGCACCTCTGCGCACGAGTCGGGAGGAAAATGGCCTCCTTTAACTTTTACACCATTTGTGTGTGTCAAATTGACCCTTGCGGGTTTCTCATGTGGCGGGCAGCTCGGAGGTTAAAAAAAAAAAAAAAATGAAAAAAACAAAACGAAACAAAACAGGTAGAAAAGATGAACGTGGCGGAAGAGGTAAAAAAATGAAAAAAAAGAGGTAGAAAGGGGGAAAAAACGCACACGGGGGAAGACCCCTCTCGAATTGGGGATAGCGGGAATATACACTCATGCCGATTGCGCAGTCGCGCAGTCGCGCGCACCCCCTCAGTGCAACGCGTACCCCTTCAGCTGCAGCGCCTTCTGGATGGACAAAACCTGCACACGCTGCTCGGTACTCCAACTCTTCATATCCTCCACACGTGACTTCAAAATGTTGTTAAGGATGTCTCTGTTCTTCACCACCTCGTTGACCAGTTCGTCGTCCGGCAGCTCCACGTTGGCGTAGGTGGGGTCCGAAAGCACGCTCTCGTTGGGAGGCCCCTGCATCGCCGACCCGACACTGACATCCCCCTCCACACCTCTCCCCACGTAACTACCACTACTACCATAAACACCCTGGCGATTAGGTTTTTTTTTTTTCTCTGCATAAATGAGTCCATTACTGTTTCCACTCCTTCCATCCACCTCGACGTAATTCACAGAGTATGGAGGTTTCCCTTGGCCATTCACATCGCTCACCATGTCTTGCATGTCACTGCGCATGTCTAACTCGCTCCTCTCCGTGGAGGCCTTATCAAATGGGTGGACAACCCTTTCCCCTCCCTTACATTTATTCAAACCGGTTAATCCCCCCTCATCATTCCCTACATCGCTGCCACCCCCACGGGAAACATTGTACCTCCGATCCGCATGACCAACCAGGTTGTTCATGTCCCCTCCTCCAACACGAACCGCATGATTGATCCCCATCGAGGTATCAAATTGGCCATAATCAGATGCGTAATTTAATTTAAACTCAGACCCCTCATTATTATTATTCAGTTGGCTACCTCCTGCATTGACTCCCACATTGTTGTCGTTGTACCTCCCATCTGGAAGCTGCTCAAAGTTGCTTCTATATGTTTGAGACGTCCCGCTTCCAGCAGCACTTGCGTACAACTCCTTCATCATCCTCCCCTTCCTCCTCTGCTTCATATTAGAACCAGTGTGACTGTTCCCCTCTGGGTAAAGGGAATTATTCACACCCAACTGATCTGCACGCCCTCCGTACTTCACCTCCCTTCCTGCATACTCTTCTGTTTCTTCCCCATTCGATATGCCTCCTTTTCCGTTACCAAAGGTAGACAGCTTCTTATTCGTGCTGGCATACAACCCCGGGGTGGTCGTAGTAGTACCGCCACCCCGTTTTGGTTTCGTCTTGCCTCCTGCCGATCCTCCCACATAAGGTGGGTTGTCTTTTACGTTAAGCACATGAGATGCAGGACCACCATACGTACTTCCCCCCATGGGGTTATCTTCACTAAAATCACAATTGACATTCTCCACGGCCAGTTTCCCCCTTCTATTACTTTTCACATGTGAAAGGAGCGAGGGGTTATGGCGTTGGTACAGGCTGTAGTCCTCCTCTTGCTCCTCCCCTTCTGTATGTTTCATCCCCCCGTCCTGAACATCACCTCCTAACCCTATTTTTAATTTCCCGCTTCGTCTCATTTGTGTCATTCGCTCGGCCTTGTTCACCAACGCCTCGTCACTGATCATTATATGCAGGTCATTCTTCGCCATGGTATACTCATTAATCACATTCATGAGGAACAGACAGTGCAGCAGTGCATACGCCACATTCTTATGCCTTTGAAAATAAAATTTCATCATTCCCGGATTTTCCATAGCATGCTTTTTAAAAAAACTCAAGATGCACATAATTTGGGATGTGGTTAATGTATGAATCAGATTTGATATTAACACTTTTTTCATATTACTTTCGTTGTAGATACTAGTCTCGCTATTTCTATTGTGACATGGTTCGTCCTTTATGTTTCTTTGTGTGTTTGTGGAGTGGGGTAGCTGTTGTCCTTTCCCTTTCCTGTTATAATGACTATTTGAATCCATGGGTGTGTCAAATTTACCACTGCCCTTATTGAGGGGAGGCAAACCCATTCCGCTACGTTTTCCCACATGTTCATTTGCTCTACCCCTGGATAACAGACCACCACTGCCAAACCCTGAGATGGCGCCACTGGCCAGCTTCTCCTTAAATTCCTCGTTCGCCCAGTACAAGCGTAGCTTCCGCCCCTTCAATTCATATCCATTAATATACTTCAGAGCCAACATGCAAGTCTCCACATCCTTGTACTCACAAAAGGCAAAACCCTTGCTGATGTTCTTATCAACGTCGTACTTGATGCGCACACTTACCACTTGTCCCACCTTGGACAAAATTTCGTGCAGCTCCCGCTCAGTCACATCGAACGGGATGTTCCCGATCCACAGGCTGTAGTTGCTCTTGTTCGCCATGGAAGAGGGGGGGGGGACACAAACTTGACAACCGGCCCAGTGGTGGTATAGCGGTGACGCGGCAGCGTGGCAGCGTAGCACAAAAAAAAAAACCACTTCACCGCGCGCTAGACGGATAAAAAAAACGGCGCCCACGCGCGTTCATATGTTTACCAATGGGCAGTATAACAAATGCGGCACACAAGCGCGGCCATGCGTCCACCCATACGTTCAAACGCTGAAACGCTGAAACGCGCAAACGTTCAAACGTTCAACATTGTCACCTGAAGCTGTGTTGCCTCGCCAAAAATGCGGCAGAGTGGCGCAACCTCTCTTCTCTTCCAGTCAGAGCAATTGCTCTCTGAATGGGGAAAATAAAAAAAAATTAAAAAAAAAAAAAATAAATAAAATATGCACTTGTTCAGTCATACCTCTCCCGTTCCGCTCTGCGATCATTTTTTCCCTTCTCACCGCTGGGGGGAAGAAAACGCCACCATAGGCATTTCTGTTGCGCCAAAAAAAAAAAATGAACATATCTCGCCCCCTTTGCCCTTGTGGCGTGAATTTTCCAGGACAGGGGGGGGGGGGCCATCACCACGGAAAAAAAAATGAGGCTTTTCTTGTCTTCCCCTTCCGCCAATAAGTATAAAAAAAAAAAAACGCATTTATGTGCATGATATAATTTTCCTCCCAACACAGTTGCATCACATTCGCGCCACATGTGTCATTGTCCATCCGCCTCTCCAGTGAAGAACGCAGTTTTTAAAAAAGCACGCCGTCGTTTTTTTTTTTTTTTTTTTCTTTTGCTTTTCTGCGTGGTGCTCCCAGCACATGAAGCTATTCTCCACATTTTTGGCGACATAACACATAGTGGCGTTATTTTCTTTAAATTTCTCTGGAGGAGAGAGAATGCCTTTTTTTTTTTTTTTTAGCATTTCCTTTCACATGATTAAGTAGAAATGGACACCTTTGTGTGAATTTTTTTTTTTTTTTTTTGCCCAAACGTGTGGGTGGACGCGCTTTTTTTTTTTTTTTTTTTTTTTTGTCCTTCAATGTGCAGGCTTCCCCTCACCGGGGACAGTAAGCACTGGAGTAGGAACACCTAATGAAGAAGTCCCAACTTGGGCTCACCGAGAAAACGCAATTTGCTCGCGGAGGTGCTGTCCACTTCTCCACGTCAACCACCATATTTAGAGGAGCGATAAGGAAAAGTCTTTATGGGGGGGAGCGTCGGTCGGTAGGGGGCCTCACCCATTAGCGTGATCATTCGCTTGGGGACTAAAACACGTTTGCATGTGTGTTATTAACGAGGGTAGCTGCACAGTGGTTGTACGGAGCACGAGACAGGTGCGATAGCTTTATCGGAGGTGAGCGCCAAACGAGCAATCCACCTCCATCCCTGCCACCTTCCAGCAACGCAAACCAAATCGCTCAAATACCTCAAATTATTTCGAATCGCTGAAACCGCTAGACTAGTCTACCCCCCGCATGCAAAAATGGATCGGAAGAAGGGCCCCACCTTTGACATCCTTCCCCCCCCACTGGAGAAAATAAAAAAAACAGACAAAAAAAAAACCCAGGATGAAGCGAAGGAACTGCCCCGTAATGAGTTAGCACTCGAACCCCCCAAGACGGTCATCAAGCAGACGAGTCCCATGCCACACGAAGAGGCCAAACAAAGCAAGGAACAAACAAAGAAGGCCACTAATTACGTGGCCGAAAAGTACAGCAACGTCATTTTAAACAGCGACGAGATCAGTCAAATCATGAGCAGCAACTCTCATTTTAAAACGCTCGTAGAAAGTGAAAAAGTATCAACCTTCATGGGAGACTATTTGAAAAACCCATTGGTCGCGATAAAAAAACACGAGAAGGACGAAACGATTGCACGATTCCTGGACTGCCTCTTCCAGTACATGAATCAGAAAAGTCGCAACATTCATTTGGCGAACCTGTCGGACACCTTTACCATCCCCAGGAGGTGACAAAAGCGCGGCGCGTCCAGCGGTGTGACGACTAGCGGTGCGACTTGTTCCCTACCACCTGCACGCGCTTGGCTCCCGCTGGGCTTGGTCGGCATAGTCCGCATGGTCCTTATCCTTAGCGCGCCTCACATATGCCCTTTTCTGTACCGTGCTGCATTCGCGCCTTTCCAAGGATCAATCTGATCACCTCCACCACAGTTGCAATTCGCGCACGTTACCTCTGCGTGCACATAACCTTTATGAATCCACGCGTGGTCGAACCGTATGACTTTTAAAAAAAAGGCCAAACGGAAAAGGGAAGCTCTAACTCTACTTTTACAGCGAAATTTCATGTACAGTTGGGAGAAGGAGAAAAAAAAAAAAAGGAAAAAAAAAAAAAAAAAAAATGTTCACCCAACTGAAGGGAACGAAATTGTTTGGCGCATTACGAGGTGTTCCAAAAACAGGAGGCACTTTTGTTTTCCCAACCCTCCCACACCAAATGGGCGTAAACCCAGCGGAGAAACACACCTCATCTCGTTCACTTCAAACATGTTTAAAGTTGCATCGTCGATCAGGAACTGTATGCCCACCCCATGCGAATGCATCATCAACCGTTCCCCCAGCGCCTTCGTAATTTTTGCCCAAAGGGTCGGTCACCAGTTCCGGCGCACCTCTTTCCATTCGGAGTTTCCCCAATAAAGAATATTGTGCACGCACTCATTGGTGACTAATTTTTCTTCCGCTCCCCTCCAATCGGTGTTTCCTTTCATTGCTTCTTTATACTTCACTTCATTGTTCCGGTATTAGCGACTCCCTTCCCCCTCAATTTGTCGCCTTTCGCCCACTCACGCCGTAGGGGACGTAAAAACAAAGTATGACCTGTTCAGGCAAAAAAGAAGGAAAAAAAAAAAAAGGAAAAAAAAAAAAAAAAAAAAAAGCTAGTCCCATTTTTCATAAAATATGAACAAAGTGTGGTCATACTTTTATGTATAAAAAGAGGACCCTCCACTCCACTCCTTTTTTTTTTTTTTTTTTTTTTTTTTTTTTGCGCCTTTGCAATTCTTCCCCTCTTTTTTGCTTGTTCCCTCCTTTGCATACTCCCTTCTCATTGCTTCTTGCCCTCTTTATACTTCTTCCCGCCTTTACTTCCTCCCCTCTTTATACTTGTTCCCATCGTTGCTTCTCCCTCCCCCTCCCAGAGGGACGCATAACATGCATTCGCGCGCACGCGCTTGTGTGTGGCCTAGCGGGAGCGAAAGGGTAGTGTACAGTACCCAAGCCAGCCCCGGAAGGTAGCACCTGGAGGTAGTCACGCCAAGGTATCATTCGAAGAGAGCACCCGAGAAGCAATCGTCTGAGTGATCAACCCGCACGGCCGGAACAGTTACGTGGAAGAGCAACGCGAAGGAGCAGCCGTATCCGACACTGCCAGTATCGCTTACATCGCTACGCCACTTCGTAACGCCGCCGCGCCGCCATGGAGGACAAACTGGAGAGCGAGCTGCTGAGCGTGTTCGCGCAGAGCGTGTCGAGCAACTTCGAGGACATAAAACAGAGCGAAGCGAAAATCACGGCCCTGTACGAGGACCCCAACCGGGAGAACTACATCCGGCTGCTCCTCAAGTTTGTCATGTACCCATACGATGAAAAAAATGAAAAAAAAAATTTGTACGACGGAGTGCTAAACAGGAACGTAAAAATAGCAGTCATGATAAGCATAAAAAACTTTGTAAAAAAAAGTGTCCACAGTAACTTAGAAAGTCTAGAGCTGAGTCCCGACTTGAGCATACAGATCAAACACTTCTGCATGCACTTCCTCCTCGATGTGAACAATGAAGACATACAAAGTTTGGATAAATATTTTTATGAAATTCTACTCTACTTATTCAAGTTTAGCATCTGTGATGATTACGATTACCTCTTGTTTTATTTAATCACTCTTTACATTAGCGATGGAGGAGCAGACAGTGTGGTGCAACTACTACACAGTGATGAGAGGAAGAAGGTAGACGATACAGCTAAAATAATCGACTGCATAATGCTTTATGTAAGGAATAAGGAAATAATGGAGAATCTAACTCAGGACAATTTCTTTGTTCAGTATGCTAAATTTGTATCCAATTTGGAAGAAATTAAAAATGTTATTTGTTGTCGTAACAAATCTCTTAACGATGATATTGTAAATTATATTAACAATACTAAGAGAGTCTATAAGACGAATGACAGACACAGCTTGTTTTTACTAAGCGATTGCATCTTGTATGGTTTACCTGGAGCTGGTGTGGCCAGTCTTTCTAACATGGTTAGTGTAGTAAATGTAGTTAGTGCGGTTAGTGTGGACAATGCTGTTAATGCAGTTGGTGGAGGATTGGGAGGAGGAAATACTCAATTTGATTTTCCAGGAAAGGGAACTATCGCTAACGACTACAATGGCAATGTAAAACTTGTACCACTTACCACAGCCATGACACATTCCTCCAGTCATCACATAAATACTACTCTCCTGAGGAAAAAATTCATCGCCATGAAAATAATTAGAAAAATAGTTAAAAAGTACAAAAACAATGATTATGTCTCCAAGTATGATTTGAAAATAATTTTAACTCACATTGAATTCCCCCTCACCCTTTACTTTGTTTATTTGTATGGAAAATTTTCTGAAACCAGTGGGTACCTTTCACAAAAGTTAAGCGTTGGAGGAGGGGGTGGTGGTCCAAATGCATTACTTGCAGCAGCCAGAACAGAAATGAAATCTAGCCAAGTGTATGTTCAGATAAGTAACTGCTTCCTCGCCATGAATTATCTCTTACAAAATATACATGTATATTTGAAAATATTTTATGCCATCATCGGGGTTGACTTACCTGAATACTTTGAGGATAATTTCGAAGTCCTTTTTAACATTTTTAACAACGTGCTTCTGTATGATGTGGGCATGGTGTGCAATTTCCTCCCTTACATGGAGGTACTATACAATGCGGTGAAGGCAGACGGGGGAGCCACTACTCCTTCCTCCTACAATACTTCTGCCATTTCCACTGTCACATCGCAGAGCAGCCACACAGGCCAATTGCCCCCCCCACAAGAACTGTCCAAGCTGAACTCCAAATTTTTACAAAACGTTTTAAAGTGCAAAGTGATGTTAGTAGATGTGATCAAAATAATTTCAGAAACGTATCAGGATGAATCGAAGAAGTATATTGTGAAGTTGGTGTTTTCCTTAACCCAGGTTCTTTACTCCGAGACTGATAGGAATTTATTGTGTCACAATTATAACTGTCTTGCATCTACCATCAAACTTATTCATCACATGAACCTAAACAAAAATGACTCGAACCCATACAAAGATAAACAGTTTCTACATAAAATTATAGAACGAGTTCTACATCATATTAGACTCAAAAGAATCGATATAGAAGAAATATTAGATGCAGATTTGGACTATTTCAGAAATGATCTGAACAAGGTCAACTCCTTTTCTGTGAGATCTGCGGCTACTTATTTTTTAAAAACACTTTGTGATAATTATTTTGATGCTTGCTTTCCCATGTTGGAGGTTAGAATTTTTGCAAGGGACTCTCTCATGTTCTTTAATCCTTCTGCCACTTCATCTGCGGAGAGAGGCGGTGGTGGAGTAGGGGCAGGTGTTGGTTCTACAAGCCTTTCCAACACCACACAGATGCAAAACCATTTTGGAAGTCTTCATCAGGGGGGCAACTCAACGCAGATTAATAATAGTACTGGTAGTAATAATAGTGGCAACCCCCACAATGGTGTAGGTATCGATAAAAATGACCCTTTTTATGAGGCATGCAATTTAGAATACAAAATACAACTAATCACCTGTCTTGGTCAGGTAAATTTGGCACAAAATTTTTATGAACAAAATGTACAACATATTCTTAAAGAATTCGTTATGACAGCCAAGATGAAATACCCGGATGTAGACTCCCTGTGCTATGGCATCCACGATTATGATTTTACCAGTCGACCTGGAACGAATTCTATTAGTGGAGTAAGTCACAACACAAGTGCAGGTGCCAATCAACACAAATCTGTGTGGCTTTCCAACGAAGATCTCTTCAGTAAAAAGAATACCATATACCTCCTCTCCGTTTTAAAATTCCTCCTAAACAATAGAAGCATATGTATCGGGTCCAACAATGCCCTCGACATATTTACCTTCCTACATCACCTGCTCTTCACAGACAAAGTCATGATATACTGCTATGCCTGTCTTTGCATGAATCGAATTTTAAATCAGCAAATAAGTAGCGACCTCGTGCAAATTATCTTCACCAATTGTCTTTCCAAAACACTCACCAGGTTGCTGTTCCTCCTCAAGTACCACGTGCATGTAAAGATATTAAATGAATACATCCTCATCACCATTATGAGGATTTTCCTTTTGTGCCCGGAAAAATTAACCAATTTATATGTGCCCCTCCTACTAATCCTAGATAATACAATAAAAATAATTATTAACGAATCACACAACCCTCTGTTCAATCACTACCTCTTTGAGCTACTCACTCTCATCATCTCGTTAATATACAAATCGCAACATGTTAGTAGCATTAATCAAGTGGAAGAAGTCGTTATTTCTACCTTCTCGCAAATATTACAAATGTATGTACATGACTTCATACCCTACATCTTCCAAATCCTGTCCATCATTGTCGATAACACATGCACTGTTCAGAAAATTCACGTAAAAATTTTGAGCAACTTGTATGAAATGGATCTGTGGAAAAGCACCGTGGGAAATGTCAATGGAATAATTTGTGTGTTGAAAAGTTTTTTTAAAAAGTACCATTTATTCGAAGAAATTATTAAAAATAACATGCAGCAACTTTTTAACATATATCATTATTGCTTATCCAATAAGAAACTTTCCACGGACTCGTTTCAAATCATTCTTATTATCTTCACGTACCTTCCTGTGGAAGCTTATAAGACTTTCCTCAAGCCCCTCTTCGTTCTGCTCTTCACATTTCTGCAACAGTACAAAAATGACATTATGAAAATTAAAGTCGTGCATGCGCTCTCCGTCCTGGTGCTCAAGACGGACGTCTCCCTCTTCGTCGACACGGTGGAACAAATACACGACGGTGAGTCGAGTCTTCACTCTCGCTGCTGCGCGTGCGTGCAGTTGCGGGGCTGTCGCGGCGATGTCGCGAAGCAGCTCGCTGGGGCATGAAAACTTGGCCCACTTCATAACCGCGCTATGACCCCCCCCCCCCCACCGCAGGACTCATCTTCAACGTGCTCAAGAACCTGTACATGCCCATCCTGGACAAGCTAATCAACGTAAACGAAAAGATTATTATCTTCCTGGCCCTCACGAAAATTATGAGCAATGAAAAAATTCGAGGGGAACCCTTCGTCGTGGATATGCTCAGCCTCCTAAACGAAAACATAACAAATAATGAACTCGTTTTGAAGAAGACCAAGGTGCACCATCAGGATGTGCAAAAGGACGAGCTGGACAAAAACTTCGAGGTCACCTACGTCAAGCTGCAGATGATCAACAATGATAATATTAACGACACGGTACGTGTGGGAGGAGAAAACGTGCGCGTAGAAATGTGCGCGCCTGACTTGCAGCCCATCCATGTGCAACGCTGCCTTCACGTCTCTCCTTATGGATCACTTTTACACGACTTTACTTTCCCACCCCCCCCTCCGCAGGTCCTGCGCGACATCAACATAAACCTGGAGCTGAAGCAAAATTTGTACAACTCTGTGTTCATGCAGATCTGCCACACCAACGGATTCTCAAGCATCCTGCAGCTCTTTTCCAGCTGAGCGCGCAAGGCACGGAGGGAAATCGCCCCCGTGCAGCAGCAGCATCACGCGGTTTGCGTACCGTTTTCGGCACTGCCCCACCCCCCCTTTTTGTGGCGCCTGATCTTGCACAGTTGAAGTAAAAATAATATTTCCCTAGTGGAAAAAAAAAAAAAAAAAAAACAAAAAAAATAGAAAAGTGAAAAGTGAAAATTTTAATAGTGCCACTTTTTTAATTCCACACTAGTACTAATGCTAATCCCTGTGCGAGTGAGAGTGCCAGTGCGGGTGGGGAAGGGAAGGGGAGAGGCACGTGTGACGGGCTCCCCCTTGCAATCCCCCCCCCACACATTTGCATACAGAGGGGCCCGCGCACGCTCCACTCAACCAAACCCATACAATGAAACCTTTTTTTTTAAACTGCATTAACAACATAGTTAAAGGAAAAAGGGAAAACAAAGTGAAACATCTTTTGAATTTCATCTTGGCAAAGCAGCGCGGTGGCCACTTGCACGACGACGATGTTGTGTACCCTGTGTCAACGCTGTGCTCCTTCCTGCATGCGTTGAGCCAGCAGGTGGGACGTCCGGGGGGAGATGAACACCCGACGCTAACTACGCCAACGGCGCCGCGAACTAGGACAACGGCGGTGCTGCACTTTGTGCGAACCAGCGAGCTGCACGTGCGCTCCTTCGTCGACGCCCTCCTGAAGCAGTTCCATGCAAAGGGTGACGCGTCAGAGGAGGCCATTCGAAGTTGCACGTACCTCCTGAATGCGCTGTGCCTGCTGGACTACGACAACCAGGCGAGCCACTCCAGTGAGCTTCTTTCTAGAGTGGTGAATGCCTTTGTCCAACTGAATAGGAGGTACCTAAACGATGGTGAAAACAGGGACCAAAGGGGTCAAGTCCCACAAGGGACACGCACACAATTGGGGGTAGAGACCACTCAGGAAGACTCATACAACAGTCAGGTACGAAGCCAAATGTTGACAGAAGTGCTCACAGTGATTAACAAGCACTTTGTAAAATTAAAAATGTCGAATGAGCACATGAATCTGGTGAGCGTCTTCTACCTGGAGGTGATTAATTACCTGTTCGCCTCAAATGTACTTCGTGTAATGCCCCCTGAGGATGCTCACCACACATATGAACATGGTCATATGAAAACGGAGCCCTACCCGCGGGTCGTAGTAACCACCCATATTAATGCAAACCACATGAACTTGAATCGAATCAAGCAATTCTACTCGGAGGTCCACTTAGATGTGCACCACTTTGTTAGTATAGCTCTGTTTGTGAAGAAGTACGCAGGGGTGCTAAACCGGTTCCAGCTCCGACAGGGGGGTTCCCCCAGGGCGGTTGGTGAAGAAGCTACCGACCACCTGCGCCGCACGCTGAACGAAACCATCGTGCAAATTTACCTGAACCTGTTTTGGAGATCCAAGTGGGACGACAAGTCCTCACAAGGGAGCTACCCCAACGGACGACAACACATATGTAATGAAGATACAGATCTCGGAAGAGTCCCCTTTCATAATGCGAAGAAGGAAGCAACGTCCTATCCTTACCTAGAACAAAACCAATCCCTCCAAGGGGATCCCTCGAACCCTACTTCCCCCTTCCTACTCATATGGAGTTACTTCCCTCATGAATTTACACAACTCTACAATTCACAAAAAATTAAAATCGATTTGGTTATAAACCAGAATGTTATGAACCTAGTCAGCTGTTTAAACGCCCTGTCCTTGACACAACTCGCTTCCGATTGGATGGCCTGTGATCACTTTAATAAACAGATTTACACCCACATCCTATCCTTTAAGCTTCTCCTACACATTACCAACGGGGGGAAAAACTTCCCTCGAAGAGATTTCCTCCTTAATGCATTTTTTGTGTATAACAATTTTTGGCACTTCATTATTAAATTCTATGCCTCCGTTCTTTACACCAACAGTCTGGTCTCCCTGCTTGGCTGCTTCTGTGCAGGACGAGTAAAGGGCATCACCACATGGAGGAGTGGCCACCTCCCCATTCGAATCATAAATGAGGAAGTGTTGCGAAGATGGAAGAGAGGAGGTACCAATTATATGTATTCTCCCTCTAGTGACCAAGCATTCAACAGGGTGCACACCCCACAAATGAATTATCTACCTGGTGCTCTACTTACACCGCAGTGCCCTCTGCCCCTTATGGCGAACAAGAGGCACCTCTTCAACATGTGTAGCTTCTACGCTCAGGTTAACTTCCACGACGAGGCCTTTGCCCGAGTGCTCGCCAAAACCACCACTCACAATTTAACACGCCTGGGACAGAAAGACATAATGGCTGTCGTGTACTACCTGGGCAACGCGACCCCAACTGGAGGAGGCATGCTATTTCAATTAGTAGTGACACATATAGAGCGACATATCACCACCTACGATATGTGTGACTTGCATTTATTATTGAAGACACTGCTCAAGTATACCCATCAACAGGAAGGGGAAGAAAATATTTGCGTAAATCATATTACTACTGTGCTGCACCATATCCTTATACGCATCCTCATTGTGTGCTGCGAAATGGATACAAAGGATAAAGCTGCACCACAGTTGTCACGGCACGGAAAGACCAAGGAGGAGGAAATGATCCCACAGCAACTTCATTTCACGAAGACTCTTCACGAGTTTTATCATTTGCTTCTCTCCTGTCAGCGACTCAACAGCATGTTAATCACCCAACGGAGCAACACTACACAACAGGTAGCGGCGGGAACTACTGCCCTTTCCATTACGCAAGAAGAAATGCAAGCAGTTTATTCAAAGCTGCTTAGAGCACGACCCGATTTCTTCACACCAAGCACTGGAATGCTCACCAAAGGTGAAAAAAACCCATTTCTGCGGGACACGCTCAACATATTAAATGTGGTAGTTAAACTAATGAAGAACAACCGCTTCCCCTCCTTGTATGAAACCTGTTGCATCCCCATGTGTGATGCTATGTACCTTCTCACTAAGCGAAACAAGAACCCCCTATATTGCTTCAGCGTATCCGAGTGGGTCAGTTTACTCCTCTGCCACTGCAAGGTGGGTCACATACCCGACTACCTTAACGAATACTTGTCACGGCTCCGCGCTCAACTCCCGACCCAGCTGCATGCGGAGCGCTGGCAATTCAAAGGGGTGCACATGAAGGACTTGCACCTCATTCGAATCTTATCACATCGGCTGAAATCGCTTCACTTGAAAAACGCCGAGCTCTTTGCACCTTTCTCTGTGCGTGCACAAGGGCGACACCCCTCCAAATGTTAATTTTTCCTCACTTTTTCATTTTAGCGCTTTTTCTGTTTTTTTTTTTTTTTATTTTTTTTTTTTATTATTATATTTTTTTTTTTGTTAATCCTCGCGCTGCTTGCCCTCACCCTCGTTTTTCCTCTGCGCTTGTTCACTTGTATACACTACGACTTCCTATGCGACCCATTTCGCTTCTTCTAGCTGCTCTCGTCACAACTTTACAAAGCCCTCATTTTGCTCGACGACCCCATCTGCGCGCGGCCCTGGCAGTTACCCCCGTGTGTCATGTATTAGGAGCGGCAGGAGAAGGGCGGGCATTCATCACAGCACCAGTCATCACTCGACTTAGTAACCGGAACTGTTACCCACACAATACAAAGCACAGTGCAGATCCTACTGCAACCCAAGGAATAGGGCGACGTAACCATTTCCAACTGAGAGGGTCCCTAAATGATTACATATATAAGCTACTCCTCAGGAGGTTCAAGAAGGTCACACACAAAGATCAAGTAAACACCTTCAAGTCTGTATTGTCTCCACTACGTAGCTATAACATCGACTTCCTCTTTTCCTGTACACACTCCATAAGTGAGATTAAAAAAAAAATTTCGGAATACATATATGAGCTGAAGCTAGTCGATGCACAAAATTTTAAAGTCGTTTATTTAGGCAAGAGGAGGTTAGTCCGGCCAATTAAAAAACAGCTGGAGGCCTACTACGTCTTGTTTTCCTTTCAAATATACCCATCGCTAATTTCAGAAGTTAAAAGGAAGCTGCTCTTGCAGGACGCCGTCTTGAGGTTAGTCCGCTTCTTCCCTTCACTTCCACCCCGTCACCGCTTCATCCCATCACCGCTTCATCCCATCACCGCTTCTTCCCATCACCGCTTCTTCCCATCACCGCTTCTTCCCATCACCGCTTCTTCCCATCACCGCTTCTTCCCATCACCGCTTCTTCCCATCACCGCTTCTTCCCATCACCGCTTCTTCCCATCACCGCTTCTTCCCATCACCGCTTCTTCCCATCACCGCTTCTTCCCTTCACAGATTCATTGTGACGAAAAACGAAAAGACTTCTAAGACCCTCGAGTACGAAGAGAATGGAGCCGTTCGGCGTGCACAGTATGCCACTGAGGCCAAGTTTTTTCAGAAGAACGACTCATAGTTGGAATGAGCACCACCATCAGTCCTTTGAGCCGTATCATATGCATGAGTCTTCCTCCATTTGCTGCTCCCCTGGCAGCTGGCTTTTTTTTCTTTTTTGTTGCTTCCTGCCCTTTTGCACACCTCGTGTGCACCGCTGTCACACGCACTACCACCACTGTTGAGAACCAGCCGCTTTAATGAACTCTTGCTAATGAACTCTCTGCCCAAGGGGGAAAAAATAAATAAATAAATGATGAATGAATGAATGAAATAAATAAATAAAATGAAATAAATAAATAAATAAATAAATAAATAAAATAAATAAATGAAATAAATAAATGAAATAAATAATGCGCCACGCATTTTTATATGCTGGGCATGCTGGTACTCTGCCATTCCCCACTTTTATATCCACACGCCCCTTCGCCGCATGCACACCAACTTGAACAATCATAGCTCTGCACGTGTGAGGGAAAGGGTGAAAAGGGGGAAAGCAATTAAAATGGTCCCTCGGCGGGACTTTTTTCTCTTCCCCGTACGTTCGTTACACACAGGAGTGTCCCTCGAGCGATCCCCCTCAATCGTCCCGCTCAATCGTCCCGCGCAACCATCCCGCGCGATCACCCCCCACGATGAAGAACCCCCTGCCGTTCGCGGTCGTATCCATTAAGCTCTCCGTCCTAGCCACCCTAGCTCATTTGGTGCGCACGGGACAGCTTCCGTACGACGGGCGAACCTCGTTCTTCTTCTTATTCTTCCTCTACGCCGCATCCTTCTCACTCTATGTCATCTCATCCCTGCGCGACCCGTACGAAGCAACACCGAGCGAGGCGCGACCAGCTACCTATAACACGAGATCCTCCTTAAAACGGGGGTATTGTGTCAAGTCCACGTTGAACCCCCTCCTGCTTACCATGCTTTTCAAAAAGTTTGTTTCTACCCCACCCACCCCCCTCTTCGCAGTGGTTACGTCAAGTCTTGTCCCCTAGCATACCTACCCAATGATGAGCGAGCTGCATTCAAAGCAAGCTTAAGTGAACGCACCCAGAACAAAAATGAACAGACGAAAAATATACCAATAGATGTTTCCATCACACATGATGAGTTCACATCATCCGATTCGTTTTCCTCCGACACAGTCAGTACCAATGGTTAGACCAAAAGGGGAGGAAGAGGAGGAGGTTTTTTTTTTTTTTTTTTTTTTTTTTTCCCCATTGAAGGAAGGCACACAATGTGAAGTGTATATTGGTTCGCTTCTGTCCCCACGTTTCATATGTCTAACCGAGTGCACATTTTTTTTTTTTATCATCATCACAGGATCGTATCCCTACAGAGTAAAAACTTGCATTTACGACTCACCCCACTTCCCCCCCCACACACACACAAATGCAGGAGAGCTGGACAGTCTAACCATTATCCACCACAAGAACCACAACACAATCATTACTGAGAGAAGAATAAAGAAAAAACAAAAAGGTCTTACCATGCGATGCGTCCGCCCAGACCAACCCCATGAGGATCGTCTTGTCCCCTCCACGAACAAAACGAAGTACGCACATCAGGAAGGAAGCAGAAGAGAGAGGGGCAAATGTGTTAAGAGGTCTCATCCCCAAGCTGAGCAAAAAAGAGTTCACCCACGGCTCAAAACTTCCTTCTCCTGGCTTCATAACCTCCATTTGATGGCTCCCCTTGAAGCAAGAACAAGAGTGAATGTGAGCGGCCCCTCCAAGTACAAACCTCTTGCTATGACACAACTGCATCACATGCGATGCAACTGTGGAGAGAGCCATGCAGGACCAACTCATGTGAAACAGACTATAGGACATTCACTTGAATACACACCAATCACATGCCCCACGCATGTTAAAATGAAGCCGTCTGCCATCTTTCGCGTGCTAGGTGGTGAGGTGTACCAGTACGCTACCCCACTCTCGTACTGCTACGTGTGCGGCGTTGTGCAGGTTAGCGGCGGGTGGCACTTCCCACGGTGGCACCTCCTAGAAGTGTGTCCGCTGCGCACACAGCAGTGAACCCCCTTTGTCATGACTCTCTCTCCTATCCATATCCCCTCGGCAGATTTTGCGCAGCAAGCACTGCAACGCCTGCCACAAATGCGTGCGTACATTCGATCACCACTGCCCATGGATCAACAACTGTGTAGCGGAAAATAACAGAGCCTCCTATTTAGTGTACCTCCTCTTGGAAGCCATGACACTTTTTCATGCAATCAGACTACTCTCCAGGGTCCTTTTAAAGATGCTCTTTGAAGAACATGGGTTCGTTTGGAGAGGGGGGGGGAGGCGCGTACGATACGGGAGAGGGACTTACACACGCAGTGCCTGGCGCCAAGATTAGGGCCTCCTCCCATGAAGGGCTACAGCGCCCGTTTAAGCGGCCCATTTGGCTAACCCGTTTTGTTATCCGTTCCTCCACAGCTGCCGCTTTGCCCTTTACCCCTTTACCGCTGCACCCCCGCAGGTGGTTCTTCGCCTGGCTTGTGGTGCTCCTGCTGGTGTTGTTTTTCTTCTTCACCATGATTTCCTGTTTGGCCATCTACCACTCATACCTCTGCTTGGTGCGCGTTGTGTTTTTGCACGTTCAAGGAGCGGTCCCGCACCACTTCTGCGGGATTGTACTCTACCCGTCACCACCTCACGCTTCACCGCTTGTTCCCCGCCTGCCCCATGTCAGATAAACGAGACGACGCGCGAAAACACCGTCCGGGCGAGGAGCACGCCGGAGGTGAACACTTCAGGAAGGCAATCAGTCGGACCCTTCTTCCTGGGCTACCAACAGAACGTCCTCATTTATTTTTCGAACCTCCCCATTGTGGGCTTGTGCCCCCAAGTGGTCAGGCAGTACGTGTCAAGCAAGTTGTGTCGCACAAGGGGTGTTGCCTGGGGGACCCAAGGGGAGATACTCTGGAAGCCAAGTAAAAAAAAAAAAAAAAAAAAAAAATTAAAAAAACTACCAGAAAAGGGGAGTTATAAAAGTGTGTCGAACTCACCTCCCAACGGAGGAAGCTTCAAACAAGTGACAACAAACGGAAGGGTTATTACCACGACGAATTACGCGCTAATCTACCCTGTGGTTACTCCCCCTTCCTGGAGGAGCTGCGCACACACGAGATAAGATCATTTCTTCCTTTGTGCAGACCCCAAGTCCCGCTTGCGACGTGAGGCCATTTTTCTCTCCATCTTGGAGGTAAGGTCATCCCTTCTAGCGCGTCGCTCATTTTGCATGTGTAAGGGGAGAGAAGGGACAAAACCTACATGAGTTTTTCTTCTTCTCCACCAACCGTTGTCACCGTTGCCACCTTGCCACCCGTGCAGCACGTCGCGGCATGCGTAAGGAGGCAGTTCTCGCCCGTGACCCTCTCGACCGAGTAAAACCCAAATGAACAAGCCACTGAGCACTGCAGCCAGGTACTTGCGCTCGACAAGCAAAAGCAGATTCTTCTGTTCCATCCCGACCGGACTAACCACCAGCCAACAAAAGCTCCTCATACAGCTAGCCAAAAGAACCGTCTCAAGGATAGGGGATGGTAGAACCCATCAAAAAATCACAAAAATTCAGGAACGGTCCAAAATTTTGAAGAATCTACATGATGACTTAGATGTGTATGCGGAGCTATTCAAGGAGAGTGGCTTGATCGACGGGGGTAGTAACAACTCGGACAAGACCATGCAGCAGGTACAGTCCTCCTCCGTTATGAACGCAGACGATGATATTAAGCAGCTCATGCGCAACATTGAAGATGTGGGCAGCGTGCTCCTCCAGGATGTAGTAGACTTTTACAAGAGCGTTGTCAACCCGGAGCATCACTTGGACACGGAAGAGGTGAAGGTAGAGGTAGGCCACCGTTAGCAGCAACGTGTTTATGTGTTAACCGTTAGCGGCTTCTTTAATGTGCTAACCGTTAGCAACGTGTTCACGTGACAATCGTTAGTAGTAACGCATTCACGCGACAACCGCGAACGTGTCCTTCCCCGTTCCTCCAGATCACCCCCGGCGTGGGGGGCCTCGAAGCCAAGCTGTTTTGTAACGACCTGTTCAGCATGTATGAGCAATTTTGCAAAATGAAAAATTTCCAATGCACTCTCATCAAAGGAGAAAGTGAAGACGCCAAGGATGGGTTCAGAAGTATCGTCGCAGTTATGAAGGGAGACCGCGTGTATGAACACTTCGTTCAAGAGAACGGAATACACCGAGTCCAGCGAGTACCAGTGAATAGTAAAAAAATTCAAACATCTACATCTGTTGTGTTCGTATTTGATGAAGAAAGCTTAAGGAAAAAAATACAAACAAAAATGAATTTCAATAAGAATGATCTGTTGATTGAAACCAAGAGATCAGGAGGAGCGGGAGGACAAAGTGTTAATAAAAATGAGACATGTGTAAAAATACTTCACAAACCAACTAACTTATGTGTGGAGGTACAAAAAACTTCTAGTCAAATACAAAACAAAAGTATGGCCATACAAGCATTGAAGGCCAAACTTTTCTCCTTTTACTACCAGCAGGAGAAAGACCTGTATTTTAAGTACAAGAAAAGTCATAAGATGAGTGGAGATAGAAGTGAGAAAATACGCACCTACAATTTTGTAAGTGATTTTATAACTGACCATATAAGCAATGTACAGTACCCTGGGATTGACCCCTTCTTCAGGGGACATGGCCTCGTTCGCCTCGTTGATAATCACAGACAAATATTCTACCGAAATATCGTGGACGAGGCCTTGCGCTTCATCATGGATCGTACACAAGGGTGACCCACGCGCAAGGTGCAGCGATATTTGAGAAGCCCCCCCCACAAACCCAGCAAACGTGGGTCTCAATGAGGAGAAGTACAGTAGATAAGTTATTGTATTTTTTTTTTTTTTTTTTTTTTCCCCTTTTTTGTTCCCATCGAATTGGCAAATGGAGCCATTCCTGTGCAACAAGGCGCGCCTCCTCGTCGATCAACGTTGCGGGCCTGACGCCTGTTTTGTTTTTTTTTTTTTTTTTTTTTTTTTTTGTTACGTAAAAGTAAAAGGCTGCAAGTGTGGGATGCGTGGTGAATTGTTTTTAATCCATTGCGCCATGAAAACTATATTATATGTAGTTGGTGGACTTCCTAACTTCGGCTGTGCATTATTTCCGGGGTTGAGGGAAGTTCGGTTCACCTGAACGGATGCACGCCGCGCTTGTGCATGTAGGCGCTGTGCGTGCTGTTGTGCGTGCGCTGTGCATGTTGATGTGATCAGGTCAGGGAATGACCGCGCGCGCTTGGGGCAACAACCCCACGACAGCGGTCATCTCCACAATTATCCCGCCGCAAACGGAACTTATCCTGCTTCACATTTTCCAAGTGCTTTTCAATTTAGGCAATCCCATCACGCAAAATAATTTATTTTATTTTATTATTTTTTTTTTTTCAAAAAGTATATGAACAGCTCATGTGTTTTTCCCTTGCATTTATTTCTTATACTTGGTGTATAAATCCGAGGAAAGAGCTATAGGTTTAATACCAACCGCTTCGTACATCAGCCGCTTCGTATATCCGCCATGGAAAAGAAGGTGCGGGAATACGCGCAGGGAGCCGTGAAGTTCATACAAAAGAGCGGGAGCAACTTCCTGGCCTGCAAAAACCTAAGGGAGAGGTTAGAGGAAAAGGGGTTCAAGAGAATTCAAGAAGGAGAAAAATGGGACCTACGAAAAAACGAAGGATATGTGTTCAGTAAGCAGAACAGAAATATATGCGCCTTCTTCGTGGGAAAAGATTTTAACATTGAAAAGGGATCCATCCTCATTTCAATTGGCCACATCGACTCATGCTGCTTAAAAATATCTCCTAACAATAACATGGTTAAAAGTAAATTAAATCAATTGAACGTGGAATGCTATGGGTCCGGCTTGTGGCATACATGGTTTGACAGAAGCTTAGGATTGTCTGGTCAGGTAGTATATAAGAAAGACGACAAACTGGTAGAAAAGCTAATTCAAATTAACAGATCTGTCTTGTTCCTCCCCAGCCTTGCTATCCACCTACAAAACAGAACCCGATTTGAATTCTCCGTTAAAATTAATTATGAAAACCATTTGAAGCCCATCCTGTCTACCGTCTTATTTGATCAGTTGATAAAAGGGAAAGGGGCCAACCAGGCCACAAATGCCCTCACGGAGGAAGCTGTGCATGGGGCACAAATGCAGGAAAAGCGACTGGACGGGGATGGCGTAGGTGCCGTAGACGATGCAAACGACGCCTCCCCCGGCTGCCACTCCCACCAAGCAAAGCCCAACTCCTCTCCACTCCTCTACACACTAGCCAAAGAATTGCAGTGCCACGAAAAGGACATCCTCGATTTCGAACTCTGCCTGATGGATGTGAACGCGCCCTGTTTCACTGGGGCCTATGAAGAGTTCATAGAAGGAGCCAGATTTGACAATCTGCTGGGTTCCTTTTGCGTCTTTGAGGCCTTCGCGGAAATGACAGACATGCTAAAGGGAAAAGCGACCACGCCATCAGTAGGAGTTGCAGCGGCGGGAGGCCTCCTCCCCCCAGAGGCCCACGCAAACCTGTACATCTGCATCGGCTACGACCACGAAGAAATAGGTTCCCTCAGCGAAGTCGGTGCCCAGTCCTACTTCACACAAAATTTTATTAAACGAATTTTAAGTGCCATTTGTTCTTCCAACCAAACACAAAAACAAAACACATCCTCTGCTCCTTCCATGGACGAGCTCTATGGAAGCCTCATGAACAGATCTCTCTTGCTCAACGTAGACATGGCACACTGCAGCCACCCCAACTACCCTGAAACGGTACAAGCAAACCACCAGCTCTTCTTCCACGAGGGAATTGCTATCAAGTACAATACGAATAAAAATTACGTCACCTCCCCTTATTACACCTGTTTACTCAAGAGGACCTTCGAACTCTTTGCTTCAAACTTTAATGAAAAAATAAAATACCAGAATTTTATGGTCAAAAATGACACACCCTGTGGTAGCACAGTTGGCTCAATGGTTGCTGCAAACCTGTCCATGCCAGGCATTGACATTGGTATTCCTCAACTAGCTATGCATTCAATAAGGGAGATCGCCGCCGTTCGCGACATCTACTACCTCGTCAAGGGCATCTTGGCCTTCTACACCTACTACAGTCACGTGCACGCGTCCTGCGTACCCGATGCCTAGCGCCATCACGTTGTCGTGTGATATGTGCCCCTGTGATGTGCGAACCTGTGAAATGTGCCCCTGTGATATGCGACCGTGTGATATGTGTTACCGCGTCACGTTACCGTATTATTCAACGCCGCTTTTTTTTTTTTTTTTTTTTGCATGCCTTTTTTTCGTTTTCCCCCACTTCCGTGGACCAACTTTCGTAAAAATGCAACGTGAGTGAAAATGTAAAGCAACGTTTGGTTCGAGGTGCCAAAAAATAAAGGCGAAAAAATAAAGGCGAAAAAAAAGGAGAGCAAAAAGGAGAGCAAAAGGGGCGCGGAACAAAATGCTGCTCCCCGCTACGTAATAATACACGGCAGATTAAAACTCACTGGAGTGTGTACCCTCGCCATCACCCTGGCGAGACGGGGTCATCACATGTCAAACATAAGTGACCCCCCCGAAGCTTCCTTGTGTACACATGAGCCATCTGCCACACTCAGCCTCACTGCATAGGATCCCTCCTGCTGCTCAACCTTTTTCTTCTCCCCACTTACTGACCGCCGCTCTCCGCCAGCTCCTTTGAAAATGTGAGGGCCGCAACTTTCGAGTTTCCTGCATGGGTGTGGAAGGTGTGCGTGGAGTAGTGTAGTGCAGTGTAGTGCAGTGTAGTGCAGTGTAGTGCAGTGTAGTGCAGTGTAGTGC